CAAACTCCCCTGGCAGATTTCTTTATTAGCCATGATGGGCAAGGGTTGAGATGTGTAGTGGTGGCACGAACCGATCCAAGCACCCTGTCCACATCCTCAGGTCGCAACAACTGGAACTCATCCAATAAATTATGGCATAAGTCCAGAGCACTGGACACAACCATAGGCTCTGCATCAACAGTGGAGTCCAAATCTTTGCGAATCTGAGCAATTTTTCCCTCAAAGTGTGTAACAAATTCGTTACAGCGAGCCACTGAGGAGTCCAGGACCTCCACTGAACCATTAGGTTGAAGAAGGTCCCAGACCACTCGAAATAGCTCTGCTGGACGACACACCGAGGAAGCGATACAGCTGGAGAAATACTGGCATTTCGCCAGCCGTATTGCCACAGAGTAGGCCCGATAATGGGCTCTAGGCTGTGTTTGGTCATAGTCACAGTAATATTTCCTCCATCTGTGCTCAAGCCATCTCCCCAATTACTTCATAGCCAGAAGCTCCTCGGTGTATGAAGGAGCCATACAGGCTCTGCGGGCAGGGAAAGGGTGCCTAGATGCGATCGTGTCAACCACACAGGCTTTCTCCTTGTACCTCAAAGCAACCTGGGCTTCAACAGGAGAGCCGACCATATCAGCTGGAAACTCCCCTAGATCATTCAGGAATCCTTCAGGGTCCATAAGTCTCGGGGGGGGTCATTTTAATTGATCCCCCACCCCTTCAGAGGGATCATTTTAATTGATCCCCCACCTCTTCAGAGGGTAGTAGTGGCAGAGAGTATAAACTTTACCAGGATATGGTCCGACCATGACAATGGGATCAAGATAAACCCACCACATCCGGACCACCATCCCCCCATCCCATTGAGAATACTAGGTCAAGTGTATGGCCTTTCTCATGAGTTGGGCCGATGACAATTACAGACCAACAACACACTGAGATCCACAGGTTGTCCTACTGTGAATTAACAAGAGAACTGAAAGACTTCTGCTTGAGCTACTTCCCAAGAAGGGATCAGCTGATCAACTTGCCCTCAAAGGTGAGTTGAGGGCATGCCTAAATAGTATTACATGCAATGATGTCAGAATTCAAGGCTAACTCCTTTTCTGCACCCTCTGAAGCCAATTAGATGTCTTTTCCACCAATTTTCACTCCTTCATCTAAATCTAGTCTGGTTTTCTGTATGCTATGTTCCACATACAGACTGAACAGATAAGGGGAAAAATACACCCTTGTCTGACACCTTTGCCTATATGAAACCATCTTTTCTCCATATTCTGTCTTAATGGTAGCTTCTTGTCCATAATACAGGTTATACATCAGAACAATCAAGTAGTGAAGCATACCCATTTCTTTCAGAATGATCCATAGTTTCTCATGATCTGCACAGTCAAAAGCTTTGCTGTAGTGTATAAAGCATAAACTGATCTTCTTTGATGTTCTCCAATAGCAAGTGGACATTTGCAGTATGATCTCAATTCCTTTTCGGAATTCAAGTGGATATTTTCAGTATGATCTCAATTCCTTTTCGGAATTCAGCTTGAACATCAGACACTTCTCTCTCCATATAAGGTTGCAACAAAGATGTTGCAACAAAGGTGTTGCCTTTATTGCAACACCTTGAATATCACTTTGTTTGCATGGGAAATTAGAGCAATAGTCTTACAGTTAATGAACTCCTTGGCATCTCCTTTCTTGGGGATTGGAATGTATATTTAGCATTGCCAGCCTGTGGAGCATTGTTTTGTTTTCTGTACTTGTTGGCACATTTTTGTTAGGGTTTTGACAGATCCAGTCTCTGTTGCTTGAAAGAGTTTTATTGGTATTCCATGTACTCCTGATTATTTATTTATTCCCAGTTCTTTCAGAGCAATTTTCATATCACTTTCTTGAATTACAGGCTCTTCATAACTGCTGGATAGCTCAGCAGTTTATGTATCTAGCTGTGAATCCAAAGGTTGGGAGTTTAATTTCTCACTGTGCCTCCTTTACAGGGGCTGGACTTGATGCATAGGGTCCCCTCCAGCTCTGCAATTCTAAGATGCTGATGCTGATTATGAATATATAACAAGATTCCTCTTCAAAGGAAACTTTCATCCTTTTATCTCTTCTGTATAGGTCTTCAGTATACTGCTTCCACCTTCTCTTTATTTTCTCCTTGTCAGATAATATGCTTCCATGTTGGTATCCAGAATTCTTAGTCTAGGCTTAAATTTCCCTGTGATTTCTTGTATCTTTTATATTGAATGTCTGATTATTCTACATTGCTTTGGTATCTCTGTGAATGGTTTGATCATTAATAAATCAGTGAACTAAAAGCTCTTCTAAATTCACAAGTTTTCCTCTTCATGCATACATTATTACTAAAATGGTAGCCGTGTAATTGTGATATGAAAGAAATTGTTCCTGCCTGCTTGAGTCTATCTGTGGCTCCCTAAATCTAGCTTTTCAGCAGCTTCTGAAAATAAAGCAGAAAGAGGTTACTTGTTCTTGGCAGCTTGATCAGTAGTTCCACTGTATTTAAATAGTTGTTGTTTAGTCATTACGTTGTGTCGGACTCTTCATGACCCCATGATCCAGAGCACGCCAGCCCCTCCTGTCATCCACTGCCTCCCGGAGTTGGGTCAAATTCATGTTGGTAGCTTCAATGACACTGTCCAAACATCTTGTCTTCTGTCATCCCCTTCTCCTCCTGCCTTCACACTTTCCCAACATCAGGGTCTTTTCCAGGGAGTCTTCTCTTCTCATCAGATGGCCGAAGTATTGGAGGCTCAGCTTCAGCATCTGTCCTTCCAGTGAGCACTCAGGGTGGATTTACTTCAAAATGGATAGGTTTGTTCTCTTTGCAGTCCAGGGGACTCTCAAGAGTCTCCTCCAGCACCACAATTCAAAAGCATAAATTCTTTGTCAGTCAGTCTTCTTTATGGTCCAGCTCTCACTTCCATACATCGCTATAGGAAAAACCATAGCTTTGACAATGTGGACCTTTGTTAGCAAGGCGATGTCTTTGCTTTTTAACATGCTGTCTAGATTTGTCATCGCTTTCCTCCCAAGAAGCAGGGGTCTTTTAATTTTGTGGCTGCTGTCAATTTTTCCTTTCTCCTACTCTGATTTTCTCCAAGATGCTATTTATTGTGTCCAGAACTTGGATGTATTACCTTTTTAGATTGCAACCTCTAGAATCCATCACACAGGATGGCTGCTGGCTTTGGAGGTTATGAGATTTTAGTTGTCACCAAAGAGTAATGCTTTGAGGCTGTGCCTAATTTTACCATACCTAATCAATTTGTCATTAACTTTCTCCTTTCTCTGGTTTTGCCATCTATATCTTTGCTTTACCTAACAAGACTGTTCTAGAAGGTATTGTATAGAATATGGATTTTCTTTTTGAACTAAATGTGGTGATTCTGTAGGTATTCAGATTCAAACATCAAAAATATTGAAGATTACAGTATTCCACTGTGCTATCTCTTGTGATACTTTATAGTGCACAACTCATTTCTGAGTGTGAGATCTGAAAGTTCTAGTACCAGGCTTTCTGCCATGCTTTTCACTACAGTTGTCCCACTGGGAACTTCACCTGGATTACCCAATCCCTGGAAGATGGCCACGCTACCCTGTACAATGTTGCCAACTCCATCAGAATCTCCAGGAAAGATGGTGGAGGAGATAGCAAAAGGGACTTTCCCAGAAGGTCCAGAGGGCAGGGAACTTTCAAGGAAAGGTGAGATTCAGAGGAGAGAATTGGCATATGAAGGATCTAAAAGGGAGGAGGGAGGTTATAAAGGAAAATCAGTGAGGAGGACTGGGGGCATAGACTGAGAAAAAAGAGGACAGAGAGAATGAAGAAGAAAAAGGAGAGACCTGGGTGGACACACTGGAGTGGCTCCAAGCAGAGCGACTCAAGGAAATGCAGTAAATGTCAAAATTCAGTTGGCCAAGGGATTCTATCACACAAAGGCAGCACCAGCAGCAAAATGTAGAATCAACCCCAGCGACCCCAGTCCTGCCCAGTTGAGATGTTGGAGGAGACAAAGACAATTTAATTGTCTTCAGTAGTTAGAGGCCAAGATATGACACAGAACTGCCTCCTTTTGTGGCAGAGAACAAAGAGAGGAGCAGTTCACAGCCACTAAGGACTCACTCAGAGAGGGTAAAGTACCATTTATGGTGGTTGTTGTGGGTTTTCAGGCTCTTTGGCCATATTCTGAAGGTTGTTCTTCCTGACGTTTCACCAGTCTCTGTGACCGGCATCTTCAGAGGACTGGAGTAGGAATTCTGTCCATACTATGTTGCTGTTTGTTGGATAGTTGAGTATTTATAGCTGTTGGAACAGCTTTTGTCCTTTTCAGGAGATAGGGTGATCAGCGTGTTTTTGTTTTGGATGTATTGTTGTGACAAGTGGGAGATATTATCTGTCACTGTGGTTGATGGGCATCTTTAGCAGGTCTTTTTTGTGCAACAAACAGCAACAGAGCATGGACTGAGTTCCTACTCCAGTCCTCTGAAGATGCCGGCCACAGAGACTGGTGAAACATCAGGAAGATCAACCTTCAGAACATGGCTAAAGAGCCCGAAAAACCCACAACAACCATCAGATCCCAGACGTGAAAGCCTTTGAGAATACATACCCTTTATGACCTTAAGGATTGCCCAAGAGTAGACTATCTGCAGGTTTGTATGATTGGAATGGTGTGTCGTTGCTTGGCTAATCTACTCACTAAATTTGAGTTGCAAAAGAATCCTTGACTCTAACCAGTATTTTGTCTGGATCAGTGGATCCCTTTGTTGCTCCCCTCCCCTTGGAGGATCTGGGGCACACACTCTGTGGTTAGTTTTTTTGGAGGTAGTCATCAGAGAGCCATCTCCTTTCACCTCATCAAACATTTCAGTTCTATTATATGAAGCTTGGTAAATGAACTCTTTTAATAGCTATGTATAGCGTTTGCTGGTTTCATCTGTAAGATAGATTGGCTTTTATTGCATGCCAATTTTAGGTGAGTTCCATTATTAATGCAGGTTCATGGCAAAGTACTACTTGAACTTTGTAGAAAAAGCCATTGCCCCCAAAGAATTGGTCTCTTGTATCTTACATGCAGATCACTGGGGTTATGCACTTGGTTCTCAGTAATTATGTGATAGGGAAAGAATATCTCAAGCAGTTGAAGAAAGAATGACTACCCACCCACCCCTAAATTGCAGAAATTCATTGCAAGGTGCAGGAAATGCCGGGGAAACTATTATCCAGTAACCCTTTATTTCCTGAACATAAATATATTGTGTCCCAGTCAGAATGAGGAAGCACAGTGCTGCTTTGTTCCTGGTGGTCAACATTCTCTTCTGTGTCCATACCAGCTCTTTTCTCTCTACACTAATTATTTCTTTTTCTTTCTTTCTTTCTTTCTTTCTTTCTTTCTTTCTTTCTTTCTTTCTTTCTTTCTTTCTTTCTTTCTTTCTTTCTTTCTTTCTTTCTTAGCAGAACTTGTAATTTTGTACAAAAATACCAGAGTTTGCTTCTCACAAACACATTAAATAATGCTAAAGTTAATGCTAATTAACTAAAGTTTTTCTGCGAGTATAAAAAATGGGGAGAAAAGAAACTGAGGGAGAAGGGGAGTCCCTAATGGTCACTGTAAGTTAAAATTAATTTTCCTCAGAACTAAAAGGGTCACTTAATGCATCTATTCATTGTCTTTACTACTTTTAACATACTGTCGTACTTAAATTTAAACAATGTAATCACATCCTCCATTCTTAACTTGCCCTTCCCTCCAAAATGCCTGGTAGTCACACTGCCAGCTAGCCTTCAGATGCTCAAGTGCACTGTGGGTTCACTGTGAGAGGCCAAAATAAATATACACTCTTTTTCTGTAAAGAAAGCTTACCTCGTAAGTGCTTGTGATCCCAGATCTGTAGAACACAGGGAGGAATAGTTCTGCAGTAAAAATGATGACAAATGTATATGCTATGGAGAAGAGGATAAAGGATGCGCCATGGCGGTACACTTCGGCTGGAGTTCCCAGCACAGTTACTGCAGACATGAAGCTTGCAGTGAGGGACAGGGCAACTGGTCCACAAGTCATCTGTCTGCCTCCAACTAAGAAGTCTCCGGAAGTTGTTTTTTTCCTGTCTTTAATTGCAAAAAAGACTCCTATCCCAGAAGAAATGAGAAAGAGGGCTGCAAAGACAACATAGTCCCAGGCAACAAAATTTTTAACATCTGGAGGGACAAAGCTGCTCATGATGCTAATTTGGTTTCTTCCTTCCTCTGTCTAAAGAGTGGTTCTCCAAAGTAAGAAGAGAACTACATCTCCATAATTTAACAAACAGCAACAGCACACAAATACAGTCCAGGACTCGTTAAGAACTTCAGATTTAGCTCATTCTAGTGTCATGCTGCAAGTACTGTTTTACAGATACTAGCTGGCAATTTCCATCTGATTGTTATCCACCTTGCCAAAGAAATATCCAAGGTCCCTGTTAGGTAAAGATGGAAAGCAGGAGAGATTCAAGAGTTCACACCCTTTTTATCTGACCGGGTTCTTGTTTAAGGTTAAACATTACTGTACCACGTTGACTCATTACAGTCAAGTAGGTCAGCATCTGGCATACTAAAGTTTGGAATACAGATGGGATATTTGTGATTGGTCTTTGATCAACTTTGTGAGATTTGAATGATTTTGCTGTCTCTAGCTCCCTGGGGGAAAATTTCCTAGGGGGGGGCCTCCTTGTGGGTGTCTAATTCAGATGTCCTAAACCCAAACTTCACTAAACATGCAGGGCTGCCAACATATCAAATGTCCAATATTATCACCAATTCCAAAAGACAATCTGTGTCACAGACCTTCTGTTCTGCTAAAGGACAGTCCAAGCTAATCTTTACTTCAGATATTAGACATGATATATTAGACACAAAACGCATGTAACCAGAGACCAATGGCAATTTTTGTAAGGGCAAACAGTAAGGAGAGAGGGATTTCACTTTCTTCCAGCCATAGAAGTAGTTCAATACATTTATCTGGAGACTGAATTTCAAAGAACAAAATAAATTTTGATTTATTTAATTTTTCCTCTTCTGTTCATTGTATGCCTTAGGTATATATTAATCACTGAGGGTGCAAAGTCCTTGAGATGCATGAAAAAGAAAGAAAAAACATACCAGTACAAGTGAAATTAGTTGACCAGGATTTAGTTTTTCTTCCAGTGTTAATATTCAATCTGTAAACTATGGTGAACAGCTAATACATCAACACGCCCATGTTCACACCATACCATTACATCACAGAGATCATCAGGTCAAACAGAAAATAGGATTTCACAGAAAATATTAACTTCACAAGCCACACAATGAGTTCTCACCTTAATCAATAAATGTCCTAGTAGTTCAACTAAACATGTTGTCATGAATATCTCTGATGCCTTTAAATGCTGATCAGAACCCCATCAGTAATTGTGTAAAGTTTGTGTAACGTACTGCCACTAACTCAAAATGGCACTGGGGTACATCTTAGTCATGTGCCTGGTCAGATCCATGACTGCATAGCCAAAATGCCCCCTGGAACCTCATCAGTTAATTGCAATTAGCCAGGGTAAGTTGCACACACCTTAGGTGAACACCAAGTGGATCCTAGCCATCCATTCAAAATTCTTAGCAGAAGGATGAAACACTGAGAGGGTGCTCACATTTTCAAAAAAGTGAATAATCCTATCTAGATGTTTCAGCTAGAAATTGTGGAGAGCTTGAGGGGTATAGGGAATGGGGCACACATGTAAATGCCATCCTGAACAGCCCATCCAGAAGTCAGGCAAAACTCTGCATGTTCACAGTGAAGGTGTATAGCAGTGCTTGTGTGTTCAACTGAATATGCCTACAGCATTTTCATGATTGGGAGCACTGCCTTTCTGACACACTTTCTGACACTCATCTTGCTTACGAATGTGAAAAGCCTGCAGCTGAGCTCCAGAAGTCTTGAGCTGCGACTGCAAGCCATGGGAGACAATGTCTTTTCTGGCTCCTGATTGTTGCACTGTGTGGGGGGGATTTTTTGCTCCCTATATTGCTTAGGCTTCCATGTGTTTGCTATCGGCGTACAAAGACAAATTTTTAAAAATGTACACAATAATTGCATTCTTGTCACCATCTCATTTGCATTCATACAATTAGCAGTAATTAATTGCATGCAATTAATATCATGCCTACTTGGGCCCTCAGTTCAGCTGTGGTGGCAGCTATTCAGCTGTGTCTGGAAGAACCTTCAATTATTTCTAATGAATCTAAAGATGAAAAGAAATTAAAGGATTAAAAGGTCTTCTAGTAGTTTCTTGACTTTCAAACATAGAAATTTACTATGTTCATATATTGTATTTCCAAAATGTATTGCAAGAAATTGAATAGAACTATAAAATAATTTATATTATTCATTTACATATTTCATCTACCTGTTAGATGTGCCTAAAGCTTAGCCTGTTATAACTGTATGCTTGGAACAATATATATAAAAATGGTGCCATTTCTATAGCTTCCAGTAAGCTAACACTTATCAAGGGGAATTATTTCATACAGGTCTCAGCAAATGTTTCAATTAAAATGCATTGTTGTCAACAAGTTAATATGCAACCAATAGCTCAAGTCAATGTAAAGATAATATCTCTAGTGCAATAAGGAAGTCATTTTTTAAAAATACCTAGAACAAAATAATTCCATGATTTTTCACCAGAGTTCCCATCACTAGTTTGGTCCTCAGTTCAGCTGTGGAGGCAGCTATTTTGGATGAAACCAATGCCCTGGATCCATTCCAGTTGGGATTCAGGCCGCACCATGGCACAGAAACGGCATTGGTCGCACTGTTGGATGACCTGCTGATGGAGGCTGACAGGGGAAAACTGTCCCTGTTGGTCCTCCTCGATATCTCAGCCGCCTTTGATACCGTCAACCACGGTATCCTCCTGGGGAGGCTCTCCAAGTTGGGAATCGGTGGGTACTCACTTAGAGAGTACAGCTTGGGGAGAGTGTTTTGGCCTCTTGGAGTCTCAACTGTGGGGTTCCACAGGGCTCGATTATCTTCCCAATGCTGTTTAATATCTATATGAGGCTGCTGGGTGGGGTCATCAGGGAGTATGGGGCTTCCTGCCATCAATACACTGATGACACTCAGCTCTACGTCTCCTTTTCACCTACCTCAGTGGATGTCATTCTGTCCCTTCAGCACTGTCTGGAGGCTTACTGCAATGGATGCAGGAGAATCGGGACAAGATGGAGGTCCTGAGGGTGGACGGCCCCTCCATTGGTGGTTTGGGAAACTCCCTTTCTTTTGGGGGGGTGACTCTCACCACGAAGAGTGAGGTTCGCAGCTTGGGGATCCATCTGGATCCGGCGCTCACCATGGAAACCCAAGTGGCATCAGTGGTCTGCTCCGCGTATTTCCATCTGTGGCAGATTGCCCAGCTGTGTCCCTATCTTGATGGTGGGGCCCTCACCACTCTGGTCCTTGTGCTTACAATCTCGAGATTAGACCACTGTAATGTGTTCTACGTGAGGCTCCCTTTGAGATTGATGCGGAAGCTTCAAATGGTGCAGAATGTGATGGCCAGACTTCTTAGTGGGACGAGAAAACATCAGCATATTTCTCCCACTCTGGCTGACTTGCTTTGGCTGCCCATTCATTTCCGCATTGATTTCAAAGTGTTAATGGTGACATATAAAGCCCTAAATGGTTTAAGACCTCAATTCCTAGCAGAACGCCTTCTCCCACCTAGATCTACTAACATCACTCAATCTAGCCAGGAAAGATGGCTGAGGGGCCTAACACCAAGGGAGGTCCAAAAAGAAAGAACAAGAAACCGGGCCTTCTCGGCAATGGTCCCTCGACTCTGGAACAGTTTTCCATCAGAGATCTGCCTGGCACCCTCACTGGGTGTCTTTAAGAGCCAACTTAAGACCTGGCTCTTTAGGCAGGCCTTCCCTCCTATCAATACTTGATTTTTACTTTTCTATTTTAATTTCTGTCTATACTTTTCCCATCTTGAAGGATACTAATATTACTGATTTAAATTGTTATTTTAATTGTTTTATGACATTTTTACTGTAAGCCACCCAGAGTAGATGTGGTCTAAATAGCTGGGAAATAAATAAATAAATAAATAAATAAATAAATAAATAAATAAATAAATAAATAAATAAATAAATAAACTAAGATTATTTGAAACTGAAGTCCCATTTGTTCATTATTTAACCCTGCACTGTCAATACAGAGAAGACTAAGCAGCCTTATCTCCATCCTTGTTGCTTTCTCCATATGTGCATTGAGAAATCTGAAGAGGAAAGTTTCTGTTCACAGATAGACTCTACAGGAGAGCAAGAATGCTTGAAAATCTAGCATCTAAGGGTTTGTCTGTATAGGGAAATTGTATCAGATTGGGTTGGGATAACATGCATCACTTCCTGCAATAAGGATCTTTCATTTATTCTGGAAACCAAATTTTTTGTTCATACACTGCAAATTTGGAGTGAGATTGATGATCACATGAATGATTACTGCAAACTAAAATGGAGCACTCCTCTCTCATACACAAAAAGGCAGCACAGCCAGTGAACCAAAAAGGTACAAAGGCAGATGAATGTAGACTGGAAAAGGGCAATCTGGTTCAAGATGTGCTGTGTACCACATGATCTCTTAAAATTAGATTGAGATTCACTGTGCTGTCAATGAACCAAAATTGGGGATAAAATGCACCCACACCCTTACTCACACGTAGAGGTTCTTCTCTTCAGACCAATGCTTGTGTGCAGAAAGCAGTGAGAAAGGGGGAGGGGCTAGCCAGTCCTCTATATTCATATTCATGATATGATACCAGGTAATATGATACCAGCTCTCTCCTTTTTTGAACACAGTGAATCGAGCTGAGATGTCCAGCGCTCCGTCTTGCCCGGTCATTCTCGATTCTTTTCAGCCAGTAACGCCTGATTCTGTGACCAGAGTGCTTGACCGCTGTCGGGCCACCACCTCCTCCTTGGCCCCTTGCCCGGCCTGGCTAATCAACGCAGCCAGGCCGAAAACAACTGAATGGGCCACAGCAATAATAAATGGGTCTTTCCTTGAGGGCAGATTTCCTCCTGCCCTCAAGGAGACACTCATTAGGCCCATAAGAAAGAAATCTAATTTGGCGGCGGACGAAATTGGCAATTACAGGCCCGTCGCCAATATTTCTTTCATGAGCAAAGTGGTGGAGAGGGTGGTGGCAGACCAGCTTCAGGCACTCCTGGATGAATCAGATGCACTGGATCCATTCCAGTCGGGCTTCAGGCCGCGCCACGGGACAGAGACGGCATTGGTCTTCCTAACGTTTCACCAGTCTCTGTGGCTGGCATCTTCAGACTCTTGAAAGTCCCCTGACTGCAAAGAGAAGAAACCTATCCATTTTGAAAGAAGTCAACCCTGAGTGCTCACTGGAAGGACAGGTCCTGAAGCTGAGACTTCAATACTTTGGCCATCTCATGAGAAGACT